CTCTTCAAGGCCCCACTTTTCAATTACTATAATAGAATTTCCCACCCTCTTAACACTGTCATAGTGGGGATTAAGCTTTGGGAGGACATTCAACCCAAGGCACTGTGGAGCTTTCGACAAGGTTACTTAATTTCTCTTTGCCTCGATTTTCTCCCCCATATAATGGGGACAATAATAATAGAGTTGTAAGGAGTTGATACATGATACATTGTATTAAAAACTCATAAGCTGACTACTACTATGGCTATTTTAGATTCTTTTTAAAACAGGGAAAGAGGTTCTTTTTCTTTGAAATCAAGTGGCATATTGTGGTGAAAGAAACTTACAGACCAAGGTTACTTTCTTTCCTTCATTTATTTTTTCATTCTTTCAGTTCAGTCCACAGGTATTTATCATATACTCACTATATGTCAGGCACTGTGCTGGGTGTATAGAAGTGAATAAAAACAGACATAGTCACAGCCATCTTGGAAGGAGTTCATTTTAGAGCAAAGGTGAAAACTTGGATAGTTAACACAAATATGTGAGGCCAGCATATATGACATCAATATAGTGGGTACTGTACCAAACTGGAGAGGGCATGCTGAACTATTCTAAGATGTTTGGATTCTTGACACACTAACCCAGCGAAAGAAAATAGACACTCATTATAATTAACATGAATTTTAGAAGGCATCTGGTAAAATATTTGCTAGTAATCATAGATCTCTAGTTTATCCATGTAGAAAAGATTAGATAAATTAAATGAGGGTGTCACTGTTTCTAAAGGAACTAGAAGATATAAACATTCTTCAGGTTTTTTAAGCAGACCTGTTTAATGTGTATTTCTTTTGGCAGAGCTGTCCCTTATATAGTGTTAAATAAATAGTAGAGGTAAACACAGAGCCTAAGTAAGTTAGGCAACGTAGATATGAACTATACTTTTGCAAGCATGAAGTCCTTCATATTGTGAACAGTTGAACCCATGAGCTCTTGAAAGATAGATAGCTTTTTCTTCCAATTCCACCATATTCCATGCTTTAGCAATTTGTTCTTTATATTCTGTCACACTAACGTGCTATGAAAATGTTAGCAAATTAAAGCCTCTTGATGTGTTAATAAATTATTCTTGCATTGTCCCCATGCTTCATTGAATTTCTTAATAGGAACTTCTTACAAATGGGCCAGAAACCAAGACTATCCTGTATGAAAACCATTAATAAACAAGATTTTAATATATGAAAATATATCTTATTATATGCCTAATGGGAAAATGACATTTGAAGTATAATAATATAATTGGAAGGAAAAACTACTATAGTGCAATATCATTATAGTGAAGAGATGTCCACTAAGAAGCACATGAAATTCTTGTAGTTATAGTCAATACTACAAGAGAAGGTTTTTTGTTTTGTTTTGTTTTTTTCCTTTTTGTCTTTTTTC